TAAAAAGACAAAAAAAAGAAACATTTGGTTTTGAAAACACTGCAAATAGCCGAGTACAGTACTTTGGTAAATGAAAAATAAAATGGTTCAGATTAACACAATCTGTGGAAAGAAAAAAAAATAACCTAGGAGAAATCAACTACGGATATCAGACAATGTTCACATTTCTCACCATCAAGCTCCATAGATAAGATAAGGCTAAGACTCCCTAAGTCTATGGATCATGACCCCATGGAGGTCTTAAATATCTCCAAACTGAAGCTAGAACAAGTATAGTGCAATTAGAAAGAGTGATGGCCCTTCACCACTCAGCCACCTGCCCTCCTTTGGAAAGGAGCCAGGAGCACACCAGCACTTCCACACCAGGGATAAGAGCACGTGGGCTTAGAGTCCGGCTCTTCTCTTCTCTGCAGGGAGCTCCATGGTGGTGAGGAATGTTGGGACAGGAGCCAGGGAAGCCAAGGGCCCTGTCTGCTCTGGAAAAAGAAAAAGTGGGAAGATGTGAGGAGGTCCACACCAGCATTCCTCAAGCTTGGCTCAAGGGACCTGTCAGGGGATCAAACCACAGGCTGACGTCTGTGACTAAGTTCCAATGATTGTCATGGCTGGCTGGCAACAGTGACCTGCTGGGTGTTGACAGGCAAAGGATTAGAGCCAGGCCACAGAAGTTGTGTCCACTACTAAGTCCTTTCTATGGCTCCCAGCAGAGTGAACAGAAATTCTGTATCATAGGTAAGTCCCGCTGAACATAAATCCACTAGGCAGAAGTTCATGTTTTGACGTAAACACTTTACCCTGATACCAGAGCCTTCTCAAATAACTTTGCACGGATGCTGAATGTTGTAATTGAGCTACAAAGTTATCCTAACTGGGACAGGGAAATAGAGATACTCTAGAAAGGAGCCCCTTGGAAGGAGGAATTGAGAGGCTGAGGTTTTCTAAAGGACTGGTACAGGGTCCGGCAGTACACAGGGCACAGACAGCTCGTTCTTGCAGCCTCAGCCTCGGGGTACACACTGAGTTGCACAACTAGAGATACACTTTGTGACTGGTGTTCAGTTTTGCTTCTGCTTTTAAAAAAATTATGGATTTTCCCCTTTCTAAACTGTGATGGCAGAGATATGCTTTAATTAAAATATGTCCCCTTTGTTTTATCTTACATTAAAAACACCCAGATATGGAAAGATCTTCTATTCAATGAGGTCAATGGAAAAATACAATTTGCTTTAAGAGTCAGGAAAACATACCTTGTAAAATGTGCCATTATTAAATCACTGGAGAACATCATAAGGCCCCAGAGTTTTAGGGCACCTGTTCTGAAAGCTGAGATGAATGAAACCGTGAATAACCAGAATGACAGACAGACACAAACTGCATCAGGCTCTGAGGCTGAAGGCTGCTATCGAGACAGAGAACCTTGAGGTAAAGAGGTGAAGAGCTATGTTTCTACCCAAAATGGGAGCCACAAATGTGACACATTATCAAGACGCTACACTCTTCCAGCCTACAAAGACCCTTTTGGTCAGGTGACTTTCAGTCAACTCTGCCTAGGAGTCCAATTTTCCTTTATCTGACTGAATATTCAAGCTGAACATTCCACAGAGGTAATGCATTCTAGTTGACCTAGTAAAACCCAGGCAGTCTAGAGGGTTTCTCAGAATGAGAGAAATTTGCACATTGACTACAGGGACTCCCTACGAGTACAGTTCAATGCCAACTCCACTTGGTATCTACCTACATAATAGGTGACCAATGCCCCCTCCCCCCATTTCACAAGTCCCTCCTCCCCACCCCGCCCCACCCCTCAGCACCTTATCATTTCACATTGGAAAGGTTGTCCAGGGAAGCAAGGCAGGGCATCATGGATGACCCACAGAAAAGTTCCCTTTAAGCTGAGCTCTAGCTGCCCACATAAGGGAGATTCCACTTCACAAGCCCTTCTCAACCAAATGGATTTGAAGTGTTTTAAGAGTTTATACAAGAAACTATAGACAACCACAAATAACATGTAAGATGCTTCTCTCTGCCATAATTCTTCAGCCAGACTTTGCTCCGGAGAGCACATACTCGGAACTTTGAAACGTAACTAGACACAGACACTCTGTCTCTCTAGCAGTCTCCTGATAGCAACTACAGACAGGACTGAGAAGCTGTGGTTCTAAGTTGTTTTAAGATTTTTACCTCTCTAGTTCAAAGCTGTTGCCACTAAAATTTTATTTAGACCTATAAAAAATATTTTTAAAAATCCATAAAACCTTAATATACAGCTTATGACAAGACCAGTAAGCAGCTACAGACCACTGCCCTATCACCTTTCTCCTGGCCTAAATGCTACCAAGACAACTCCATGTAACATCAATCTCTAACAGTCAAGATGCCGCCCAGAGGTTATGATCCACTGAGTTCCCAATATAATATTCACAGGAGTAACTTTATTGGAGAAGTTACTGACAGTAGCCATCCCAGGACTAAACACTGGGCCTCCGTTTTGGCTGCTAATAAAATAACTGCTGAGTGCCCGCTACTAAGGCGACTAGGTAAATGGGTTCCACCTACTACACGTTTCCATGAGACTGAGGCAGTGAATTCTAAATTCAAACACTAAGTTAGAAGCTAGCTACCACTGATGTTGAATACATGTACCCCACTCCTAGTATTTAGCATACTAGTTAAACACACATGACCAATTAGAACTAGAAAGCTGTAAGAAGACAATGAAAGAAAATTACTGAAGCCATGTGATTAGTATTTAAAACCACTGTTCTGAAGCCTATTATCAGAATTAGGTAATTTAGAAATAAATTTGTCTAGTACTCTTTTTAGCAGTTTCTAAACTTCTAAACTTTTAAGGAGTCCTGGTGTGGTGCTGAGGGTTAATGCGTTGGACCACAAGGTCGGTTTGAACCTACTGTCGGTGGTTCAAGCTCACCAGCTGCTCCTCGCAAAGTCTATACAGGGTCGCTATGAGTCAGAATCGACTTGACGGCCCTTAACGACAACAACAAAACTTCTAAAACCTAGTGAGGCCCAAGGACCCTTCACCAACCAGGTTAGCAAAGGACTTCACTGCTTCTGTCAGTGGGCCTCCCTTCAGCTACTTCTGACGCTGATTCTGTTGACTTTCTGGTACACAACCTCGGTCCTTCCCAGGGTCGATACTACTGGCCTCCTGCACTCTAACAATACGTAGCAGACAAGGGCTGTTCCTCCAGAAAGGCTCAGCCAGAGTCAGAGGAGAGAGTCCACAGAGCAACAGATTCTGAAGTACTGGGTCCCAGCCCTTAGAGATGAAGACCAGAAAAGCCTTCACTTGTGTGGCCTGAGTACCAGAGCCTCACTCTCACACAGACAACAACCTGCTCGATAGTACATCCGCTGTACCCAAATCCATGTCCTGGGAGCCATTCCCAGAGACTATGGATGCTGCAGCCACAAAAGTCATCAAACCCCAAACAAACATATATTAAAATACGTAAGAAAGGAAATAGCCCACTGATAAAGACAATTCAATGAGTCCTGGGACAACCCAGGCAATGATCAATATAGACATGTCAAAACTTAATAGTTTTCCCTTCTTCTGGGATTTTACAACTTTGAAATTGAAGGAGTGAGGGAGACAATAATTAACTTCTGAGTCAACATATACGATACGTCCAAACGTCAGGTCTGCAAAAGGCAAAGCTTGCCCAAGATTGTCCATCCACTTCGTGTGTTATAGTTTTAAAGGTCACTTCTATCTAACTCCTAAGTTTTAGGAATGGCATCTCTCGATTGCCCAAATCTGCCGATTTCAGAAATGCTGAATCAGTCAAAGGGTGTAGCCAAAATATGTTCTCTGATAATTCAGGGTGGTTTCTGGGGAGTTTTTCCAACGTCAAAGAAATAAACGCAGCATTTTATGGGCTATACTTTTCATAATACCAGGAAATTTTAGGAACCTCTTGGGTCAAGTTACTTTTATTTCTCTAAAGGTTTCCTTCTAAGTCTAGAATTACAAAGAGGAAAATACAGTTCCTTAAAATGTGAACCTGAAAAACTTTATAGACATTCTTCCCAACATTCTCCCCCTAAAAAAGCAAGTAACTTATTAGAGATTCTTCCTGGACAAAAAGATCCTGGGAATCTCTTGATTTCTTACTTGACCACCTCCAGACAAGCAGACTCTGCACTCTCCAGACAAGCAGAATTCCAGAACTGCATCACAAATGATAAAGCCAATCTTTCCACTGTCAAAAAACGGGCATCCAAAACTCTACACTATCAAATTTCCTGCAGCCCAGCCCTCATTAACAGTCAGGTATGTGTATCATATGGCTCAAGTGCAAAAATAATCTAAGAGCACCTGCATCCTGGCTGAGATCACAACAATTCCTGAATTAGGAAGGCAAGCGATGTAGTTGTTTACTTTTCCGCCCAACTACAGGCCACAGCCCCCATAGTGTATTACTTTGAGAAAGCATTTTCTGAGTCATTTACTAAGTAACTTGGATTAGCAGAAGACTAAATCTAAACATGTTCCTGAGTTTGCAGATTGGTTACAAACTACCCTGTCTATTAATCTGTTGGAAAATGAAAATGATATAAAGGAAACTTGTTCTGAACCTCCGACGATGAATCCAAACTACCTCACACAGAATTACAGCAAAACTCACCCCCAGGGTTAAGACCTCAGGGTCACTAAAGTCTGATTTTCAAAACAAGTAAAGCTACATGTCAAAGGTTTTCTTGACCTGCTGATGACCCATCCCTAAAACTCAATATTGTAAGTTTGTACTGTGGAAAGTGAGTGGCTTCACTGCATGTTCATGAAGTAAAACACATCACTAACCAACTATAAAAGAAAGAGAGGCAGCTTGCAGGAAACGAATCTAGTGTATGAGTGAGCTTAGGGGTGGACTCTGGGCTGAGTTTCATTGTTATAAAGAATGGCCTCTCTGGGAAGTTGGTACATAGCATTCTGTTTTCCATCAGCTTATTACAATTCCCAGCAGACCAGAGAGTCAGATGTTGAGAGCAGCGAAGGTCTTCACCAAGGTGACCTGCGTATTCACATCTGTGTCACTTCTGTTGTCCCTGTGGCTACTCCTGCTCTCCAAGGCTTTCTGACGGTGCCTCTCCTCCTGCCGCCTCTTCTTCTCCAGTCGCTGTTGTTCTCGCCTCTGTTTGTTTGTGGTCTGAAAGAGAAGATGGCTGCCGTGAGACTGCCAGCACGGGTGGCCCAGGCTGCCACAGGTACGAGGGAGATGCAAAGGGCACAAGGCTTTCCTGCAGAAAGGGAGAAAATCAGCCCAGGACTCTTCAAATTCATGCTTAAATGCAAAGCTCTCTGCTGAGCTAGCAAACAAAATCAATTCCTTTCTCCTCACTAACCAATTCCAAATCTCTCAACTGGATGTTCACCCTAGCCAGTAAGAGCAAACACTCAAACAGGTCAGAGGATCCCTTTCTCTACATAATTTAAAGCCCCAGATAATTCTAACAAACTCCTCAGAAGTTTACTGTATCTTTGCCTCTGTCTGTGGCTTTTCCTATCATGCTGCATTTTGAACTCAAAGTATCTTGGTGAAAATCTTTCAAATGAATTTTCAATTCAATAAAATAAATGGTGTCACATAGGACTGTTGGGTGTAGGGCTGGGTGGGTGGGGAGGGAGATGCATAACTTCTAGGAAGCACTTGACATTTTACCCAAATCTTTAAAACCATTCCTCCATCTATGCTCTTTAACCTGTTCATTCCTCTTCTGGGACTTGTTCCAGGAAAATAATGGAAAAGACAAAGAAGTGTTCATTGTAGATGATGATGCTTCTAAGATAATGTAGATTCACATGGGAAGCACCCACCCAATCATGTTAGGTGGGGGAAACAGCTACACATTTGTACAAGGAATATGATTTCAATGTATCTTTCCTTCCAATCTTCAATGCACAGAACAGAACCATGACTGAACACTTCATTCTATTCTTGGTACATCATTGTGTGCTCCCCATGTTTTCTACAATAACGATTTCTAGACATCAAAAGACAAAAATACAACTAAAATGAATTCCAAGTCCCCACCAACTGCCATAAATTCCAGCAGCCCTCCATTTCACCCTTCAACAACCTTCCATACCTTTGGGAGCTGGTTTTTATTTGCTTTGTTTTCTTCAGTAGGGCTGACCCGTGCCTTATTGTTTTCAATCCTGCCTTCATTTAAGCCCTGGTTTCCAAAGATTCTGGCACCACTGCCACTCTCCTCCCATAAAGGGCCACACGGTTTCAGAACACGACCACTGGACTCAAGGTGCTCATCTGCATCTTCCAAAGAAAGAGAGTTCATTAAAATACATCGAGATGGTACATGGTGGGGATTGTAATCATTGTAATGAAACAAGGTGTATGATTTGTCTGCCCTGAAACTTTCACTCAATTCACAATAAAAAAAATTGTTTTAAAAAATCTATTGAGAACCTATGGAAATTACACAATGTGATAGTTGTTTGAAAGGATTCCAAATTTGCCCAGGGCCCTAGATCACTATCATTGGGAGAGCAGGTTTCCTTGAGACGAAATTTTAGTATCAAGTCAAAAAACAGCACTGGCAAATTTGGGAAAAGGAAAAATAATCTGCTGACCAGCTTTATCATCAACTTCTCACCTGTGTGTTACGAGATAAACAGGAAATTTTAGGGTGCAATCTTTCATTTGCACTTAAAAACCAGAAAAGAAATATGCTTTAAAGCTGTGCCATCTGGTACAAGACATAAGTGGCTGTTTAGATTTAAATCAGCTAAAATTAAATAAAATTTAAATTCCAGCTGCACTAGTCACATTTCAAGTACCTACCATATTGGACAGCACAGATACAGGATAGCAATCCTCAAAATTCCAAAGACCTCGTTATTTATAGAGAACAAAAAGTGGGTAAGAGACCCAGTCACATGGAGAACCGCAATGTCAGGAGCAGTAACTGGAACCTAATAATTGGCAATAATTATTTCCTGAAACCTTTAAATAAATGACTTGTGGAATTAGAAAGACATTACACGTCCGTTTTCCTTGCTCTGCATCAGAAAATTAAACTCAATTCAAGTTAAAAGCAAACAAACAAGGCTGAAATAAATCCTGTCATCTAAACTCTTATGTTCTTCAGAAAACTAAGGTGTTCATTCCATTTCAGCTCTCACACTTGGGATTTAGGAGGATCTTATCTTTAAAAGGAGAAGCTTCTCTGACACTCTCCATCCCTCCACGGGGGAGGGGAGGTGTGGGGGTGGGGGGGAGGTCAGGTGGCCACCTCCTGTGTTCCCTAGAGCCCTATAACATTTCCACAACTCCATTATGTACTATTACCTAAGCCCACACTCCCCCTCCCCACATGCTCTCAGATGCAGGGCCTGGGTCTGGTTTACTGTCTAATCCAGGACTTAATAACAAACAGTTGCTAAATGAAGAAATGACAATATAATTACAATCTGGGATTTGATTAAAATGTATTTAGAAAACCAGCAACACACTCATTTTGAAACTTACATAATAAATCAATCATGGACTTACTATTTCTTTTCCCCTGGTTCATCTGAAGCATGGCAATTATTGCGGATTCAATATTATAATTTTCAGCCTCCAGGTTCTGGACTATTAAATTAAAATCCTATCCAAGACACAAAGAAATACTTTAGGATTCTGGATCTACTTTCATACCTAGTTCTCCTTTAACAATCTGATAAAGAGATATAGTAATGAGAGTTGAGGTGAGACTTCTAGAGCTTTTTCATTTAGAAAATGTCTTCATTTTCAAAACAGTGGGTCACCTGAATAACCATCTGATATGCATTTTTCAAAAAGGAGCCCTGGTGTGACACTGTAGGACAAACACTGGACAAGGGTCGTTCAAAAACACCAAGAGCTCCTTGGAAGCCCTATATAGTGTTGATGTGAATCAGAACTGACTTAACGGCACTTCACAACACAAATGTCTTAACACACGAATTCTTTTTGTAAAATCATACTTTCGCCAGTGCAAAAACTAGTGAGAAAAAATTAGGCGAAGTCAAACAAACAAAGAAGGATATGAATAAACAACCGTAATTAAGTCTCAACATGTAACTTAATCAAGTTACAAACCTCATGGACCTATTTTGGTCCACCAGGTGCTAGCATGCTGGAGTGGCACATAACACTAACAGATGAACGAGACAAAGCAGCACTTGTTTAGAAAGCATTCTTACAGATGACAGAAATACTAACTGAACATCCAGTTGCATTACAAACTTTCTGGACAGCGTCTTCTACTTCATCTCTCAGGTCATCTTCAAAGTCAAGTCCCTTTGCCTTGATCTTTTCTCTTTTATTTGATTCATCTTGGTGAAGCATCTGGAACTAAAGGGAGACCAAGAACAATCATCACAGTAATTCGGGAAACGATGTCCAGACTCTTCAACAGGGGAGACAGTAATCTCAAACACATTTAAAGGTGTGGGGAGAAAGAAACCACCTCCAGGGAAATTATGAAGTTGAAATTCACCCAGACATTGAGATTTAGCCCAAAAGAAGAGCATTGAAAAGGAAAGCCCAAGACATGGGATAACTGTTCAGTAAGAATGGCCTTAGAGTTCCTATGCTTTCTGGATAATATTTTGGCAATGACTGTTGTCTCAGACAGCATGCATTTGTCTCTGATGGTTTCCAGAGCTGTGAGTTTATCAAGAGAAGATGATCCTCCATACTAGCACTTAATGATGAGCTTTCGCAGCAAGTCAGTGCTTGTCTCTCTGGCTCTCTATGACCACCAGCAGGCTTCTATTCCTACTGCACAGTCACAGCTAAGCACAGCGCATCTACACTCAGGCACACACCACCACACTTAGGGGAAACCTGTCAATCCAAATTCAAAAGCCACAAAGAGCAGTTCATTCAGCATTCACACATCTACATCACCAAAAGCTAAACTCTTCCCTCTGTGGCTGCTCACTCACCTTAGCTATTGGCTTCTGATTAAAACAGGGAAGGAGGTATATGGGAAAGGACATCCTAGCTTTCCTTTCATGTAAAAATGTAAGTGGAGCCCAACAATGTACAGTAATATTCCTTAGAACATGAATTAAAAGCAACCCACTATAAAAACAGACCCTCGGGTGGCAACGCACCTAAGGCAAAGGTTTCCAGGAAGCAATCTGTCAATGCTTTGACCAGTCTTTCCACAGCCTGGAAATTTACCTACAGAAAAGTCCGTGGTAGTGCTGTGGACTAGGAGCTGGGCTGCTAACTACAAGGTCAGCAGTTTCTATCTACCAGTCACTCTGAGGGACAAAGATGAGACTTTCTGCTCCTGTAAAGATTTACAGTATCAGAAACCCTACAAAGGGGTCGCTAAAATTTGAAACTGACTTCATGACACACAACAACCACCAACACCATCATTATTATTTAGCAATGTTTTGGAAGTAATGGCCACTGCAAAATTATAAAATTTAAAAGGAAGATGAAAGCTTATCATTACTTATAGATGATATAATCTATACCTGGAAAAAAAAAAAAAAAACAAGAGAATCAACCAAAAAACCACAAACAAAAAATTCTGGCAAATCATATATCTAAAAAGGATCTAATGATGTTATTAAGTGCAGTCGAGTTGGTTCTGACTCACAGCAACCCTTTACAGAGTTTCCAAGGGTCTAATATCTAAAACTGAAAAAACTACAACTCAAGAACAAAAAGACAAAATAATCCAACTAAAAAACAGGTAGCATAGTGGTTACGAATCGGGCTGCGAACCTTAAGGTCAGCGGTTCGAAACTACCAGCTGCTCCGCGGGAGAAAGATGAGGCTTTCTACTCCTGTAAAGATTTACACCCTCGGAAACCCTATACAGGGTCGCTATGGGTCGGAACCGACTCTATGGCACATAACAACAACAACAAACAGGTAAAAGATTTGAAGTGTCATGTCTCCAAAAATATGAGGACTTTTAAAAAGTGAGGAAAATGCAACGAAAAGATAATGAAATTTTTCTGTGAACTTTAAGTCCCTTTATATGTAAGTGGTCAACAAGCACATGAAAAGCTACTCAAACATCATCATTGTTAGCTGCTATTGAGAAGACCCCAACTCACGGAGACACCATATATAGCAAAGTGAAACCTTGCCCAGTCCTGCACCATCCTCAAGACTCCTACTCTGTGCAAGGCCATTGTTGCAGCCACTATGTCACTCTATCTGGCTGAGAGTTTCCCTGGCTTTCACTGCCCCTCCCCCCATCCCCCCTCCACACACACACTTTACCAGGCAGGATTGGTCCCTGGAGTCCTGGTGTGGCGCTGTAGGATAAGCACTGGACCTAAAGGTCGGTTTGAATCACAAAGTCAGTGGTTCAAACTCACTGGAAAATAGGGTCACTATGAGTTGAACCCGATTCAACGGCACTTAACAACAATAACAAATGACGTACCCAGAGTAAGTGAGTCAAAGTCTCAGGCAACGTTCTGTGAGCCACAGTTTTCACTGGCTAATTTTCCGTAGCAGATCACCAGGTCTGTTTTTCTAGTCTGTCTTAGTCTAAAGCCTGTCTACCATAGATAACCCGGCTGGTACTTCATATACCAGGGATATCTGAAATAAGGGGACCCCATCTATTGGTTTACCGTACTGTGTTTGCTTGCATGTTGCATTAGTCATTAAGGAAACGGAGATCTAAATCATAATGAGGTATCACTTCACACCTACTGAGATACTCATTTAAACGAACAAACAAATAGCAACTGCTGGCAAAGATGTGGAAAATGGGGACCCTACACACTGCTGATGGGAATGCAAACTGGTACAGCTGTGGTGGAAAACAGCTTGGAGGTGCCTCAAAAAGTTAAACACAGAATTACTATGCTGTTGCTGTTAAGTACTATGGAGTTTTGACTCGTAGCAACCCTGTATCAGAGGCTTTAAATATTCGTGGGCGCAGAAGGCCTCATCTTTCTCCCACAGAGTGGCTGGCGGGCTCAAACCATAGACCTTGTGGTCGGCAATTCCACCACTAGGTATACTCCCAAAAGACTTGGAAGCAGAGATTCAAACACATAGTTGTACACCACTTACTGTAATGTGCACAACAGCCAAAAGGTAGAAACAACCCAAGTGTTCATCGACAGATGATTGGATAAATCAAATGTGGTATATACATACAGTGGACTAGTATTCAGTCATATAAAGGAATGAAGCTCTGATACATAGTACCTCTTGGATGAATCTGGAAAACATGCTAAGTGAAAGAAGCCAGACACCACAGGTCACACAATGATGCATGGTTCCAGTCATACAAAGTATTCAGAACAGGTGAGTCAATGGACACAAAAGCAGACTAGTGGATGCTGAAGCTCCATGGAGTGGGGAGTGACTGCTTAATGGGACCAGTTTTCTCTCAGATGATGAAAATGTTTGGAACTGGATGGAGGTGGTAATTGTGCACATTAAAGTGCATGATGTCACAGAACATGAAGCTTTAAAAAAAGAGAATTCTGTAAGATAGCTGGGTATGCAAGATTTTGTTAACAATTCTCATCTTTACAAATAATAGCCAGCTGTTTTGTTGTAGATGCCATTGAGTTGGTACCAACTCATAGTGTCCCTATGCACAACAAAACAAAAGACTGCCTGGTCCTGCATAAACCTCACAATCACTGCTACATGTGAGCCCATCACTGCTGCCACTCTGTCAATCCATCTCGTTGGGGGTCTTCCTCTTTTTCTCCGACCCTCCATTAAACCAAGCATGATGTCCTTCTCCAGAGACTGGTTCCTCCTGACACTATGTCCAAAGTATGAGAGACAAAGTCTGGCCATCCTGGCTCCCAGGGAGAGAGCATTTTGGCTGTACTTCTTTCCACACAGATTGGTTTGTTCTTTTGGCAATCCATAGTACTTTCAATATTCTCTTCCAACACCATAATTCAAATGTATCAATTCTTCTACACTCTTCCTTATTCACTATCAACTTTTGTATGCATATGTGGTTATTTAAAATATCATGGCTTGGACAGCCAAACGGAGGCAGTGACCCAGCACTAGAAGCCACAGAACAGCGCATCTGAAGGGAGAGGTGTGACCGATTTTTCATCTTTCGCTTTTCATTTTTCATGTATCTCTCCTCTTCAACCCAATCGCGCCCTCACTGCACAGCCCAGACGCCTTCAGGTGGGCAGGAGCACACCCCCAAAAGGGTCCAGCATTGCACCCACAGATTTCCAATGGCCCAGAGAGGAAACCACAGGCTGCTTCTCATGATGTATTAACCCTGGAACCAGTCCCATAGTTAACCTAGGCAGGACCCTGTGCAGAACAAAGGCCAGTGAACAGTAGCAATCACAATTTTAATTTTGTTTTTGATTGGTGGTTTCTGTCTCTGCTTTTATATTGTTTCTGTCTTTGGTCCTTTTGGCCTCACTCTTTTCCAGGGGTGGGAGCTTTCTCCCCCTACCTTACCCAAGAAGAGGCAGAAACTGTGCCCATATAGCCAAGCTGCAAGCATAACCTGTAGTACCCCTACCATCTGGACAAGAGCAAAACCAGTTGCTAGGCATTACACGTGAAAAGGAAAGCATATTTCCAGACCATATTCACCAGGAGACACTCAGTAAGCTTAACAACAAAGCAACATACATCCATTTAAGCATTAAAAGCCCACATAACTTGAAAATGTCCAAGAAAACACAATTAAAGGTATCAACACATGTCCAAAAACAGAAAAAAAAGTGATACAAATGAGCTGGAAGCAAACACAGACTTTCCAGTGGAAGAGCAGACTCTGGATCTGTCTGAGAAGGAATTCAGAAGAATAATATGGAAACAAATTCAAAGACTCTGAAAAGGGGTGAAGGAAAAATAAGGAAGAAGTCAGGAAAATGCTACAGGAGCAATCAAACAAGATAGATATGGCATTGAAAACAATCCAAAACCTGCAAAATGAAATCCAGATGATTAATAATAAAATATCAGAAATGGACAATACACTGAAAGGGCAAAGGAGGAGAACGGAAGAGATGGAAGCCAGAACTAGTGATCTGGAAGACAAATCTCTCAATACTGCTAAGACAGGAGAGCAAGCAGAAAAACGGACTAAAAAAATCTGAAGAGTGTAAGATTCCTGCTGGATAACATAAAGAGGAATAACTTAAGAATTATTGGCATTCCAGAACAAGAAGAATCACAGAAGTCCACAAAAGAGATAGTTAAAGAGCTTCTGGAAGAAAATTTTCCTAACACCTTTCAGAACAAGAAGATAAACATTCAAGAAGCTGAAAAAACCCCAGGAGGGATAGACCCCAAAATAAAATCACCAACACATATAATAATCAAGCTCTCCAAAATCAAAGATAAGGAGAGAATCCTAA